CCCCATAAAGTGCACTGAAACAAGTGAGCAGTGTATCAAGTTTAAGATTTTAAAAGGAAAAATTCCATCTTGAATTGTTTGAATTTTTTTTTTTTTTTTTTTAGAAGGAAATTCCAATTTTATACACTATGTTTAAGAATATGTAATTCAAGTGGACAATCTCCTTTAAAGGTCACCTGTAGAGATGATAAAGGCAGATTTGTGCCCTTTTTTGTTTTTTTGAGATATAGGGCAGGCTAGGAGGCTTATTAATTTTTATTTTTTAAAAACACTAGACACTGAAGTCCATTTAAGCTAAGGCCTGGTCTCCACCTAAAACTTACCTAGCTATGTTACTCAGGGCTGTGAAAAATTTCACCTCCTGTGTGACATAGTTACGTCAATCTAACCCCTACGGTAGACGGGGTAAGGTTGATAGAAGAATCCTTTTGAATTAATCTTTTGTTAAAAAGATTCAATAGCGTTAACTCTTCATTTCAGGTATGAAGAACTCACATACACAACTCGTACCTCCCGACTAGTGCTTCAATACTGCGAGTGTTTTATGCTCTTGATGTTTATATATTTAATAAAAAACAAACAGAAAATCTTTTAAAACCCCAACAATCTTTCAAACCTTCTTTAAACATCTTAAAAATCAAAAGAAGCAACAAGACTTAGTCTTTGACAGGTCATCTTTAAAAGAAAGGGAATGAAAGTTACACTTGCTGAAGCTCCAGGACTGCTATACTTAGTTCTGAGCAAGTACCAAGAAAACACTACCAGAACGAGGAACCAATGAGCATTTTAAGATCTGATTTCTTGTACACCATCTGGGAGAGAAGTGATTTATAGAATTGTAAAAGAGCAACTTTCACCTTTCCAATGGTATAAAGCATATATTTCTTGTTAGGTTGCAAAATACAGAACCTTAAAATCCTCTCATTTCAATTACTATCTTGATTTTCTCTACCACCAGTCCTCTTCCCCAAATTCATTCTAACATGATTTTAAACATGTCATTTCAGTTAGAATTTAACGCATCTAGGTTTTCAGATGGCATGAGGCATTGATGGCTAGTTCTGTGGATCAACCTATACCATAGTAACCTTAAACTAGTAAGTCTACTGTTTTTCAGGAAGATAATGTCACCCCACTTTGTCAAAGGAACGTAAAACAGAGGCCTTGTCTACACTACAGAAGTTATACCAACTTTTCACCCTTTAATACATGGAAAAGCATTGCTGGGAACCATCAGTGTAACTTACCTTGAAAGTTTATAGAAGGAAGAACTAGTATAGCTTGAATCAGTGCAGAAGATGCAATTCACAACCACAAATGGGGCAGTCAGTTCTCACAGCTCCCACCATTTGATCATTGTCAGAACCGACAAATTTCTCAGTCAGCCAGCATTCTTATTTCCACCAGCTGAGTACCCACTCCTATCCTGAGTGCCTCCTATCATACTGCCTTAATTCCCCATATTACCCACGCCTTTCTAAAAATCCTCCTCCAGACATGCCCAGGAGGCATTTGTTGGGCAGGGGGCCAACAGCACATTTTACAGGAGGTAGCAGCTGGAAGGAAGGGGTATGGCAGGGAGGCACAGGGGGGATTTTAAGTTGGCAAACCTGTTTGTCATTTGAGGTGCACAAAAGTGACAGCCTCCCCACTGGAAATCAGTATAAGGCAGCTCTAATGCAGACACAGGGACAAACCTCATGACAATCATAGTAGGTAGCGCGGACACACTCATTTCATGGGGGAAAGCATACAATCAATTGATTTTCCTAGTGTAGACAAGGCCAAAGAGAGAAAATCTCTATGCCTCAGATTCCTCATCTGTAAAATGGGAATGTTAATGCTCCTCTACTTTACTGGCGTGAGGAGAGTTAATTTAAGACACATTGATATGTTTGATGAGTAACAGAAATGCCTAAAAATAACCAGGAATTGAAAAGTTTACCCAACAGCAACTAGCTCAAGAACTCAACATACTAGCCCATGCCGCTAGACCCCACTAAAAGGCATGTTTCCCTGCAATTTGACAGAATACATTCAATATAGTTCAGACTGTTTTACCACGGTCAACTTTCTACTGATACTTTTTTGAAGTGTACCTTAGGATTGAATGAACATACAAACAACTGACCAATATTTGCCAAGTTTAGACTTTTTATCAACTAATATTGGTCCAACTATAGAGATTCAATTTACTGGCCAAATGCCATTTGCCCAGTCCTCCATACTTTCCTGGTTTCCTTTCCCTCCACTACTAACGCAATGATTCTCAACCAGGAGCCTGTGGAGGGCTGCAAGTTAAGTTTCAGTGGGTCCGCCAAGCAGTAGACTCACTAGGGCTCAGGGCAGAAAGCTGAAGCCCCACTGCATGGGACTGCAGCCCAGGACCTTGAGCCCACCACCCAGTGCTGAAGCCAAAGCCCGAGCAACTTAGGTTCTCAATGCTTCCTGTGGCACGGGGCCCTGGGCAACTGCCCTCCTTGCTACCCCCTAACACCAGCCCTGGCTTTTATATGCAGAAAAACAGTTGTTGTGGCACTGCTAGGCCGTCGAGTTTTTATAGCATGTTGGGGAGGCTCAGAAAGAAAAAGGTTGAGACCCCTGATCTAACACACAGTCAACCTGTGGGACTCTTTGCCAGGGATGTTGTGAAGGCCAAAATTGTAACAGGGTTCAAAACAGAAGTAGGTACATTCATGAAGGATAGGTCCATCAATGGCTACTAGCCAGGATGGGCAGGAATGTGTCCCTAGCTTCTGTTTGCCAGAAGCTGGAAGTGGATGACAGGGGACGGATCTATTCAGGACTTTCTATGTCAGAAACAAAAACAACATAAACCCAATCCAGAAACCAACAGGTAGATCACAAAGCGCTGGTGTGATATGCACATGGTGAAATACTCCACTTAACAAGTGAGCTGCCTTATTCTACATTTGATTCAGCTTTTGAATGGATTTATGGTGTAGCCCCGTACAGAACCCATTGCAGAAGCCCAATCTAGAGGTGAAGGCAGCATAAATGCCAGTAGCAAAACTTATGTAACGATCACAACCTCCTGGCCAGATGCACATTAAGAAAAAGCAATAACTATTGCCTTTGCTACTATTTGGTCATCCAAAAGGAAGTAGAAATCTAATTCAGCTCCTTTCCCCATCTCTCCTAAATTGAAAACTTTGGTACCAAATGATGGGATGGTCTGTCTGCAAACTTGGAAAATACTGCAAGTGTGCACATTTTTTGTTTCAGATCAAGGCTTTAGTCTCTCCTAAATTGGTGGATCTTGCCCAGGAAAGCTATCTACTAGAAAAACAAAAATTAAAAAATGCACATAAAAAGGGAAATAGCTAAAGGCTTAAAAATGAATATTGATAATTAAAGGTTATTGGTACTAGCTACACTGTCAAAGTACACCTAAGGTCCCAATGAGGAATCAGGTTTGTTTATGCTAAGCACTGTACAAATACCACCCCACCTCCCAAAATGTCCCCTCTCCAAAGAGGTAAAGTAGTGACAGACTTGTTAAAGTATACACATGGAGAAGAGCTGTATTAGCACCATCATATTTCCAATATGTATCTTTAAGGCAGTTCTGTTGCAAAGCACTGTGTACATTTGAAACTACCAATCAGATTTTTAAGGATACTTAGCAACCTAAAAACCTTTAAAACCCAAGTCCTGTATAATAGATCATGCTGCAAACTAATTTATAGTTAAAAGAGTCTATTAAGATGGAGACAAGCACACAGTAGTGAACAGGCCAAAGGACTAGGAGCATTGTGATCTATTCCTAGTTCAGCCACTGACCTACTTGTGGACCTGTAGGAGACCTACTTGTGTGACCTTGGGGACCTGCTGTGACTCAGTTTCTCCTTGTATAAAATGGAAATAATGTTTACTGGCTTTTGAAATGTATACATGAAAACACCAAACTTTGGTACTATTAACATTAACTCTTTACTGTTTAGATAATTTAATAAAATCTTGATAGCATTAATGTATTGGAACCAAGTCTTTTAAAAGCCTAGCAAACCCATTTACTCATCTAGTGTGTATTATTCCCTAATGACTAGAAAGATGTACTTTAATGCACTAATATTTATGTTACATCAATGCCAGTCCTGAGTAACTCTCCTTACCTATGGTAATAGATGTCATATGTCAATTTAGAATGTACAACTTCTGAAGCAGATATTTCTTACTATACATTAAAAAATCAGAAAACTTAATAATCAAAAGACACTCAATTCACTAATTTGATTTGACCAATTTTTTAAAAAAAAATAAAAAAAACTATAAAGTCTCCACTAGCATCTTGCTATTTAGATGGTTAAACAGCAGAAGGTGTTATAGGGATGCCTTTCTAGTCTACAACCTGATCCAGCTCATTATTAGGGGTTGCAAGGTCATCAAGACTCTTTTCAGAACAAGCAGCACCAGAAAGATAAGGGTATAAACTTGGTCTATAATTCAGAGTGCAAAATAACTGCACCTAGGAGACGTGTTCCTATAGGCAGCTAGTTTCCAGTGCTCTGATCATTTCTACACAGCCATTTTAGTCTGAAACTGCATCCTCCCTTTCAGCCAGCCTTCATTTTGTGGTATTGTTCGCTGAAGGGTTCCAGGCTGACAGCTCGAGAAGGAGTTGGCTGTGATCAGGTGTAGGGGAGATTCCTCTCTGTTTTGTGGGGAGGAGAGGGCGGGATTGTGCTGGTCTCAGGGTGGGGGTTTGGATTTCCCGCCTCCCCCCGTTTAAAGTAGGAGAACGCGCCGCTTTCAGAGGCGAGGCGGGGTAGTTACCCGCCCGCCTCCCCCAGGGAGTCCAGCTCCTCCGGGAGAGGCAGGGGAGCCTGGGGACCCCTCGCTTGGCAGGTCGGCCCTGCCATCGTCCCTCCCCCGGGCGGGCAGTGCCGTGTGTCCCGTCCCTCCCCCCAGGCGGGCGGGCTGGCTGCGCGGTCTCTCCCCCCGGCAGGCCGTGCGAGCGCGGCGGGGCGGGCACTTACCGCTCCGGCAGAGTGAGCGGCGGCGGCGGCCTCATCCTCCTCCGGCGACGGCGGGCCGATCTTGCTGCAGGTGGCCGCTAACAGAGCGAGCGGTGACGGCTGAGTGTCCTACCCACAGTGGGCGGGTTCAGAGAGAGAAAGGGGGTGGCGGTTAGTGCGGGGCAGCGGCTCGGGCTCCCGTCCTCAGACTCGCACACAGGAAGCGGCGGCACCGGCTCCCGCGCTCGCTCCCAACGTGTCACCCGGGGGGAAGGGAGGGGGCCCGGCCGGGCCTGCGCTTACCTGGGGGGCGGCCGCCCCGGCGGAGGCCGAGGCAGCGCCGTTGCCGTGCTGGAGATAGTCGCTGTGGCTGCTGCTGTCCACGTCTAAGGCAGCCATTTCCTCTTGTTTCACGGGCTTCTCGGGAGCTGCGGGCGAGCGGGGAGGGGGAGGGGAGAGTCACTGACGGGAGAGATCACCCCCTCCCTTCCCCCCTAACCCCAGCGCTCCCCCCGCCCTCCCGCACGGAGCCCTCCTCCTCCTCCTCCTCCCCGCGCTGCTGCCCCTGCCCCTCTTCTCCCTCCTCCCCCTGCTCCTCCTGCTGCTCTCAGTGTCGCTCTCGCCTCGCTCACACGCAGACGCGCCAGGGCCGGAGGGGAGCGCAGGGCCGGACCAGGAGCGGCAGGGAGCCCCGCTGGCGGCTCGTTCTGTGCGTACGTACCGGTCATGGTGTGAGTGCGAGCGGCTGGCTGGGCGGGAGGCAGGCTGGCTGGCTCGCACACAGGCCCCGCCGGCTGGGGCTAGGCGGCTGCCGCCGGGGACATGCTTATTGTGCTCACGGGCTGAAGCGGCGGCGGCGGCCCGAGCCCACTCCGGGTTTTTTTTCCTATTTTGATTGACGGTGCGGGAAAGCCGAAAGGTGGGGCTTGCAGCGGGAGAGGGGGCCCGGCCGACACCACCACCGCCCGCCCGCCTGCCAGTCCGGAACTCCCGCCTACCCGCTCTCGCAGGCTCCCATTGGCTGCGCTGCGCCAGCACCGCCACTCTCACTGGCCGCCCCGCCTGTCGCTCTTCTGCTAAGGGGGGGGGCATGCCGAGGTGGCTTCCTGTTTGCCTGGGTTTGTGTGAGAAACAATGAGCGGGCTCCTCGGAGAGCTTTCGGCGGCGGGGCCCTCAGCCTGCTCGGGCCCCCGGGGGCGCTCGGCGCGCAAGGCCGCTCAGGGGGATTTTTCTGGGATAGCCTGCGGGCAGCGATCCCCAAGACTGCCCCGTGCTCCCTCGGGGCGGGGGCTCCTGACGGCCTCACACCCTTGGAGCCAGCGCTCTGGGCAGGCAGCTCCAGCTGCTGCTGCCTGCACTAAGGCTGCGCGCTCGGTGCGGGGCAGTTGGCAGGGCCTGGTTACAGCCGGCTGCCTTCCCCGCGGGCCTGGGGCGTGAGTGTTTCAGGGGAGATGTTTCCGCTCCCGCAGCAGGGTTTGAAATCTCCCTCGTTCGCGTTGTCACTCACAGCTTGTGACAGCCGCTCCCATGAGGCGGCGGCAGGCAGCGCCTTACAAAAAAACCTACAAAGTAGTTAGTGCAGTTGAAATGCAGCAGGGGGTTTGTTACCACGGGAGCGGATTCATTTAATAAGGGACAGATTCCTAACGTAGCAGTAGCACCCGCTTTAAAATGGCTGGGCCCAAGCAGACAAGCCCTGTGTGTACAGTTCCTCTTTGTTGTAGCATTCAAACTCCATGATGGTGAGACACTCACGTGTGTTATAAATGCTTCACTTGCTCATGCTTCCCTTAAAAACGTAAAGATATGCTCCCAAATGATTACTGATTCTCTAAAGCAACTGAATTTCATGTTTTAACTCAAAGCCAAGATAGATTTCACAGCAGAGTTAGTCACACTAGGCATACCTTAAATCCGGAGTTTGCTACTGCAAATTGTGAATCTGACAAATCCACCTCTGGTTGACCCATCAGATCTAAGGCCAAAAAGGTCCATCTGCGATACTTGAGGCTTGCTGAGCTGTTGCTTCTGTTAAATACAACCCATTAAAAACAATGTCTTCTGAATAAGATTTAATATCTATATGGAAAGTTATGTTACACATGATAAAATGTTTAATGTTCTCTTTGAAGCCACTAAATCAAGCAAGTGCATATAGAAGCACTGGGTTATGTTCTGCTTTTTCAAGCCTAAATCCTTTGTCAGCATTGCTTACCTAAGAGGAACTCCTGAGACTGTTCATGTATCATTCCTGATATGTCAGCTGCAATGCAACATAACAGGCTTTTTTTTTTTTTTTTTTTTTTATTTTATATTATAAATTAAAGGTTTTTTTTTTTTTTTTTTAAGAAACCATAGATTATAAACTCAAGGAATGGGTTTTACTCTGTAAAGCACTATATAAGGATATGTTGGCATATGTATTATTAATAATGCTTAGCTCTTGATTACACATCAGGAGTAATAGGTATTTGATATGGAAGGTGGACACCTTAATGCATCATCTCCCCATCGCACCTAAATTCTTCCTAGAGGGAACACACCAGACTAGAAGGCTGACAAAACAGTGGTATACACCAGGAGGTCCAAAACTGTTCTCTGGTTCTAGGCTTTGACATAATGTAAACCACAGAGAATTACCCTGAAGATACACTGTAGTGACCTAGAATCTGCATTTAGTTTCTAAAGGTCCTGGGTCATACAGAGAGAATTCCTGAAAAACGGAGGCTAATAGCAAGTCCAGAAACCTGGTCAGAATCTTGAGACGTGGAGTATGTCTATGCTGCAGTAAAACACCCATGGCTGGCCAGTGTCAACTGGCTCGGGCTGCAGGGCTAGAAAATTGCAGTGTAGTTGTTTGGGCTCCAGCAGTGTAGACATATCCTATGTCTTTTTTTTTTTTTAAATGGACCCAACATCATTTTCTTGCAGATCTTAGCCATCTTTCCTATTGGGAGGCTTAGCCTCTACAGTAGTTTCTACTCCGAACACAGGAAACTTACTGAGAGAAACTTAAATCAGAGAAAATAGCCTGATCTTTCCCCATCTCCACCTTCCCTGTCAATGTACATTTCCAGAAATATGTCCAGTCTTAACTGTCCTCACTTAGTTATTGTGCTGAAAATTCCTTCTGTAGGTTTATCCTAAGTGTTTTACTAATAAGCAGTTAAACTCCCAAAACCATTTTTCACAATTCATTTTTCTTAAGTGCAGAATTTTTTTTTTTCCATTTTGGAATTTCTATTTTTGTTTTGTTTTTTCTGTTGGGATTTCATCCTTGAATCTGTTGCCGGGAAGCTAAACAATACATCCAATATATAGTTAGCTGGTTAATATGATTTGGAGTATATAATTTTTATAGCTTATGAACACAACATTCTTGGAAATGAGAGTTGAAATTGGGAGGAAAATTCACACTAATGCTGACATGAGAGACTTGGAGTTGAGCAGTTTGTATGTCTATACTTACAGACAGTGTTCAGATACAGTTTGTCAGCACTTGTTGCTCACACCCTCTGTCAAACTATAAATATTTTTTGTAGTGTAGACAGTGTACACTCTTCTAGCCTAGAACAGGACCTGAATTTCTAATTTAAGACAGAAGCCAAGGGAGGAAAAGTGCCATACCTATTTAGGTATTCTATACATCAGTGGTTCTCAACCAGAGGTACACGTACCCCTGGGGGTACTCAGAGGTCTTCCAGGCGGTACATCAACTCATCTAGATATTTGCCTAGTTTTATAACAGGCTATGTAAAAAGCATTAGCAAAGTCAGTACAAACTAAAATTTCACACAGACAATGACTTGTGTTTACTGCTCTATATGCTATACACTGAAATGTAAGTACAATATTTATATTCCAATTGATTTATAATTATATGGTAAAAAAGTAAGCAATTTTCCAAAAATAGTGTGCTGTGACACTTTTGTATTTTTATGTCTGATTTTGTAAGCAAGTAGTTTTTAAGTGAGATGAAACTTGGGGGTATGCAAGACAAATCAGACTCCTGAAAGGGGTACAGTAGTCCGGAAAGGTTGAGAACCAGTGCTATATATCATAAGGCAGCAAAAAAAGAGAACAAGTCCAACTTTTCTCCCTTTACAGGTCACCTCTAATTTACATAATATTCCAGTTATGACTTGTTACATAGTACTTGAATAATTTCTGCTGTTTAGAATATTCTTGTTTTGTTTTACCTGTCCTTAGCTTATACACCTCTACCCCAATATAACGTGACCCGATATAACACGAATTCGGATATAATGTGGTAAAGCAGTGCTCCAGGGGGGCGGGGCTGTGCACTCTGGTGGATCAAAGCAAGTTCAATATAACACAGTTTCCCCTATAACGCAGTAAGATTTTTTTGGCTCCCGAGGACAGCGTTATATCGAGGTAGAGGTGTACTTACTGTATTTGTTGATATTGAATTGTTACCCATATTCTGCATATGTTGCTAAGTTTACTCAAGTCATTTAATTCTTCCTTTATATTGACTGTTCCTCCCTCCAGTTTTGTATTATCAGTTTATTGTATACTCTTTCATTCATGATCCCAATGCTGATGTCTAGTTCTGATATCTAAGGTTCTGGCCCTGCAATCAGATCCATGCAGGTGAACCTCTAAAGTTAGGGTCCACCCACATACTGTAGATCCAATTGCAGGATCAGGGGGCCAAACTTAGTATTTGGTTAACACATTGTAAATTAGTTGTTTGTATCAAAATATTTGTTTAAATCCTAAATAAATTATGACCATATCTTCTGCTGATCAACTGTGTCACTTGGTCAAGGAATTCTTTTGCACTTGAAGATAGGAATGACCACCTTCTTCTGAATCCACATCAGCTTTCTTTAGGTAACCAAGTTATTCCTCATAGTCTATTTCCAATTAACATTTCTAGTATCTTCCCTAACCCAGAAGTACAGTTTCCTTTGAGGAAGGGATTACAGCAAGTGAGTGATGCAGTATACATTATTTACTATGTTTATCTAATAGAGTAAGGATTGGAGTCCATTAGATAAAAACTGGCTTCATAACACTGGTCAGAAAGTGGCTACAGACTGTAATTTAATATGCATATCATAGTTCCCAATCCTGATTGAGCACTCATTGTGCAAGATGCTGTACAAATGAAAGATCAGCACAGAGGTGGCTAGGGGCTTGCCACAGGAAACAGTATTCGGTCCATTTTTTTGACAAACAAACAAAAAAAAGTCTGCAAACTAAATCCTGGTCAGGTGTTATTAGTGTTATTAATGGCAGACTCTTTGCTGCCATTTTGCTGATGGGACTATTGATTCCAGGCAAGTTACTTGTCCTACTCATTATGAAAAGTATATATTTGTTCAAGCAGTTTTTCTATTTAACTGCTTGATTTAGTACTAGTCAAACTTATTTGTAAGCTACTTTTTATTTTACCTAACTTAAACCTACTTTTCTAGACATTCTTTCCCCACTACTACAGTGCTTATTTTCCTGCTTCTTTTACAAGAGACTTGTTTTCCCTTTGTTCTGTCAAATTATTTTGTTTTCTCACCATATCAGTCTTCACATCCTCTCATGACTTCATCCCAAATGCCAAACTATCATCAACTATCCAAACTCTAATTGGAATATTCCCTTATTAATCATGTTCAGTCCCAGGGTGGAGCTCCCTCAGCTTCTCTTCTGACCATTTAAGAAGTGGAAGTAGCTTTTTCCATTAGAGCAAGTAAAACTACTGGGGCACTGCAGAGGTATACAAAACAAATCAGGTAAAAAGGAGGACTGGTGATATTAAAAGATAAATATAAGTGTTAAAAAGAGGATAAGTTGAGAAATGAAAGGAAAATTGCAAAGGAATGTGTGAAATGTCTTTAAAAAAAGGCCTGAACGGGAAAAAAAAATCTATTGATAATAAACTATTATTAAAATTCTAAGTATTTTCTATAATGGTCAGATCAGGAGGAGACAAATTTCAAGGGGAAAAAAAAAAACAAAAAAACAAGGAAATCAGGATCACAGAAGAACAAGTTCTCTAGCTAATTCTAATATTTTAAACAAATTTACATAGCCAGAACAGTCCAGGAAGTGGCAATGAGATATGCAACAATGTATAGAGTGACTTTCCCCCAAAGAGTCGAGCCTGATTCATTGAAGACATAGGGAGTGCAAATTGCACCCCCTGGACTGAAGGGGCTGCTGTGGTCTAATAGGGGGATTCACTGTCAGAGAAGGGTAGGTAGTGTTTCCACCTCCAGCTTCCTGAGGGCAGCTATGAATTGTAATCTGGACTCCACAGGAATCAAGCCAGCAGTGGTTACCCAGCAGATGCAGTGAGTCACCATGTACTCCAGACAACTTGGCCATAACCAGTGCCTCTATTTTCGGGCTGTTTATGGCCAAATGCAGGCCCCCTACAATAGGCTGGGTAGACTTTCTGCTAATGGGTTACACCAACACAGGAAAAAGAAGATGTAATTCAGGGCTGAATGAAGTCCTATATCTATATAATCTCATTCCATTAACCTCTGAAATACATGCATTTCTAGGGTGAATGTAGCAACTCTTTTGCAGTGAGAGTTCAGGACAGGAAGTGAAGAATACACATTGTTGAACTAAAGAAGAAGTTTAGAAAGGTCAAATGTAATTACATAAGATGGAATATGGGCAGAACACTAAAACACCTCAACTTTTGCAGAAGTGTCTCTTCAAAGCAATGTCCTGGCCACTTGTAATTTAAGCTTCATCAAATTTACGGCTCCTACAGCAGCACAGTGAGCATGCTAGAATATCAGCTCAGTACTAACTCAGATGGAAGAGCTCCAATAAGAAGCCATACAACTCTTCTGTCATCTTTAATACTTAGAAAATGTCTTTTCCTTCTACTTGCACGCAATTCTTTTCTAAAGATATTCAGTTGCAACTTCTGTTGCTATCTTTGGTGGTCCATAATTAAGTTACAGAACCTTTGTTTAAAAAATACTTGCTCAATTCATAGTTTTGGGACATTCATGTTACGTTATACCTCAGTGAAGGTGTGTGCATGTTATGCAGTATCCTAGAATAGAACTAGGTAAGATGAGAAAGAGAAAAAAATTTGAAGGTGGCATGTGTTCTTTGTCACTAGGGAAGCTGACATCCAGGGTCTCTTACTTTTGAAGGCTAGGAGTTAAGATGAAGTTGAAGAATCAGTAGGGACTCAATTAAATAAGTCATCTTAAATCATACAGCTTTGACTAAAGGGTGAAAAGGCAGAAATAAGTCTTGTACCTGAAGAAGTTACTCAGAGAGGAAGGTCCAGATACCACA